TTGGTCAACAACCCTTTTGAAGTCGTTATCCTTAAATTTCTGGAACCGTTACTATACTAAACAATATTTAGTTGATTGATTTGACGATATCAACGTTAAATTTATTTAAGTCATTTCGTTCTTTTTTTCAAATTGTTGCTCTTATTATCCTATTCATTTTTTTTTCGTTGTGAGTTTTTTTTACTCAATATTGGAATTGTATATGCTAATATGCATGTACGAGTCTAAAATTTGATTTATTAATATATTTCACATCGAATTTGAACAAGTATTCAACGTTAAAGGAAAGACCCAATTAAAATGATACTAATATTTTAAAATCTCAATTTGAACTACAGAAATTATGAACTAATTTAAATTTACGTTATCGTTTGAAAATATTTCATGAATCTAATTTTTTTTCATCGTCATAAATAAATATAATAAACTTTTTTTTATATAAATTTCCTTAATTACAAATAACCTCAAATCTTTAAGTAATTAAATCGAAGAAGATTACATGTATAAATGTATAAAAATTTATGTTCATTAGGTCCAGACTAAATGATAAGATTGAAATTTTAGGATTTTTTTCTTTCTAGATTTAAGTATTTTATCTTTGTGTGTGTTGAGATTCATATTATAAAGATCTTAGCGGATAGATCAGAATCATACTAATCCAGATTTTATTCTAATTATATTTTAATATTTTTTTAGAATTACATATAAATTCAATTTTTATTCGAATAAATATTAATTTATTGGGTCCAAATTTTTAATTAGGCAATTTCAGTGGCCAACAACATTGTGCCGTGCAATCAACCAATAACCTATTAACGACATTCCTACACAATATTACATTACCACCAATGTCTTGTTTACTGGTCGAGCCTTTGGACTTTTCTTTTTTAATTTTTATTGGGAAATGGAAACGCCGACGACTCCGATTATTTTAATTTAAGGGAAATTGCTAAGCAGCGTCTAATAACATTAATTAAGCCTCGACATGCATGAAATATAATAGTCTTTAAAGAATGAATACATAAACATTATTTGATGCCTTCAACCACTGATTAAACGGCAATACAGATCAATCGGCCGGTGACAAAAACCCAGAAATGTATTTCCAAGAAATTATTCCACGGCAAAAACCTTGTTTTATTTACGTTATAATATTAGCCTTGTTTACGCCAATAGCCTGATGACTGCTTTAAATATTCCTGATTCCTCGAGCCTTTCAATTCCTGTCAGTTCAAAACCCAGTTAGAATTTCGAAATTTTCAAATACGGAAGGGATCGGATTCCATTTACATTGCAGATGAAGCCAGATGAACCTCAGTTTAGAGCATAAAGTTCTTAACTTTAAGGTCGTGGATCGGGTCTCACGGAGGGTATTCATAATATGAAGGTCTCCCATAGAAACTGTTCTAAACTTGACGTTGGAAACAACATATTACCTTACCTCCCCTTACCCCATTACATATAGGAATAAGGGACAGTTAATTTTTATAGAAAAATAATAAATACAATCATTTTGCAGTTATTGGCCCAATAAAATAAAAAATCGAAAATCTAAAAGAATAAAATGATTAAAGCTATAATTTATATATGATATAAATACTAATCATAAAATTTAACCTTTTAGTTGATAACTAGGAGAGGGCGTAAGGTGGAAGATGAATAGGGCGAGTGGTGCTAATGCTTGGACTCGAGAAAAAGAAGATGACACGTGCTTTTAGATTCTTTACAGCCTTTCTGATTAGCATATTCTCTATTCTTAGTTAAAGAGGATGAACAGTAAAAACGGTGAGCTTAAGCTATGGCTAGGCTTAAATAATATGGAGAAAAGGGGTATTACTTTTCCAGTTCCAACCACCTTCATATGCGACCTAAGTCCTAACAAAGCTTTAACCAAAGATGCTTTAGGCTTAGGCCATGCAAAGTCCAGATGCTAATTTCAATTTTAATATTTCAGTTTCCGGTTTCAATTACAGCCTGAAAAAAACAAAATTATTGGGTCATATGTACATAATATATACAATACATAAATAATTAAATAATTATATTATTTTCCTATCATTAAAGTTTAAAAATTCAAATTATGATGTTATAAATAGGTAAACTAAGTTGGAAATATCATTGTTGTATCGAGTCTCTACATTACTTAATCTGGATCATAGGCGGAACATCTCCCATTGGCCCTTGCTAATTATTTTTTAAATTTTCATTGATAAAATCAAGTACACTTTTATATTAATTTTGTTTAAAATTTACGATTTTTTTGTTATTTTATTTTAACATTAAGTCTTATTATAAAAAAATATTTATTTTCTAATTGAATTGAATTATCAATAATTTTTTTTTGGAAAAAAAGGTATAAATTTGGAATAAAACCCAGTACATAAGATGTCGGAACCATGAAACCAAAGGCATAGTGGGCTGGATATGGTTAAGATCTAGCAAGTAGCAATATCCAAGAAAAGCAAAACGTTTGGGCTCATATAGATCATTAGACATATTGGAAGGCTCATTAGACAATATGTCCGCCGCCCCCCCCCCCACCCCCAAGTTTCTGAAATTATAGCCCACAACTTAACAAATTAAACTATTAGTTCGATTGTTATTGCTGTTTATTGAATTTAGTTTAGGATAGGTATTGCTGTTAGGTGATATCTGATGTCTGCAGGGATGGATACGGTGTGAACAATTATCATATGAAAATTTAAAATTATCACGTATTTTGAATTGTTTTATAATTTTTTTATTGAAATTTTTTTTCGTCCCCCTAAGATTTTATAAGTTAATCCCTCATAAAATCTTAGAAGTTCACCTCTTAACGTAAGATTTTGCATCTGTCCCTACATGTAATTTTATAAGTTAATCCCTCATAAAATCTTAGAAGTTCACCTCTTAACGTAAGATTTTGCATCTGTCCCTACATGTCTGATCACAACTGATAAATAAAATAATCAAATTAAAACCTTTTAATGTGGTTAGAGAAAATATTAGATTAAGGAATGAAATGAAAGTATATATATGAGGTTAAAATCTTAAAATAAAGGCGAATGCTTAAATTATTGCAAAAGGAAAGAACACTACCGTGCTGAGTGGTCCCTCCATGGGTGAACTCATTGATGCGATTTAAGCCACAAAGTCCATAACGTGAGATCAGATAAACCAAAGCTTAAAGCCCCAAAAAGAAGAAAACCTTAACAATCAAAGATACGAGTGAATAATTGCTGCCATTTGTCAACAACTGTATAAAGTTTGATATTCTATTACTAAAAATATTTTTTATTTTACATTATCGTCCTTTTTATATATCATTTTACAACACCATGGATTGGATTGGATTGGACTCTGGACCTAATCATTACGAGCATTTTCTCTCTCTTTTTGGGTAGGGATGGAAAAAAATCCAAACTCGACGGGTAAAATTTAAAATCGAATTAAACGGGGACGTGAAAAAATCATTTATGTTAAACGGGTATGGGAACGGAAAAAAATCGTTTATGTTAAACAGGGACGGGACGGGTTTAGAAATCCCCGCCCCGATTACATGGCCCGATACCCGGCCCGATAAATATTAATAATAATAATTATATATATAATATTAATAAATTAAATTTAAATTAAAAAATATATAATATTTATATATTTAATTTAAATATATATACCCGGCCCGATACCCTACCCGATACCCGTTTATGCTAAACGGGATACCCGTTTCCCCGCGGTTTTCCCCGATTACCCGATGGGGATCTCCGTTTAAATCCCCTTAGTTTTTTAAGCGGGAACGGATACATGTTTTTTAAATAGGGACGGGGCCAATACCCGGCCCGAACCCGGCCCGTTGCCATCCATATTTTTAGGGTTGATTGTTAAGGTGTGGTACTTGTGGAAAGTTATTTATGGGTATAAATTTAGATTATGATATTAGAATTTCAAAAGAAGATTATGATTTTTGTCAAGTGGATATGCGTAAACGTTGAATATCAATTAAAGGGTGTTAATGCAATGTACCAAATGGCTTGTCTAAGGTTACACTTATCTGGCCTGGCGGGTAACTTGACCTTTAGATAAGTATATGTTTTCCTGGATCGAGTTCGAATCGAATATAAATACGAGAGTAATATAATATATAACTATTTAAATTTATATATACGATGAAATGACAATGATACCGTTAAATTAACAATAATTATTTTAGTATTTATATGAGACTCAAGTCTCACAAAGAAAAAGATGTTAATCATGGATACTCCAACAAATGATTGAAAAGATGGAATGCTGTGATGGTCAAAATTCACCGATCTAGTAATGATGAATTTGATCTGCGATTTTGGTTTGATTCGACGTTTCAGCCTATTATTTGCTCTTCTTCCCTCGACCCATCTGCAAGTTACACTACTGTGAAATTCAACAGTAGCACACCAAATTATATCGCGACACCCAATTACCCTATCGGTAGTTTTTGTTGTTTTCTTCAAGATCTGGATTCATCACGAGCGCATAAACCCCACCACCTCATTGGTAAGAAAAAGGCTGAAAGTGACATTGATTCGAATCCATGCACGGCCAATGCCCCTGAAGGTTACGATTCACAAGATAAGCGTGTGAGTTTCTTTCCAAATTCCAAGCTCTCGAAAGTTGGGTTTTAAATAACAGACAGACAACGATAACACCAACTTGAAGTAAATTGCCGGGTAGATAGTTATCAGAGGTGACAAGCATTTCTCGTGGCGTCACTTCAATGTTGTTTCAGGCCCATCCCGAGAGCCCTATGTTGCTTAAGTTGTATGCCGTTAGATAAACGTCGGACTCCAACCGTGTCTTGTCTTGTGATTGTATATTATTAATGAATAAAGCAATAGGCCGTGTCATTATATGGTTCAATATTTAACGACCCATTTCATATTTATAATATATTTTAATTGAATGATTGAATTGTAATTTTTTTTTAAAAGTGACCCATTTATAACCGAACTAATAATTAAATAACCTGAAATGTATTATCTATAATAATTCTATATACTCCATAAATCAATAAGTCACTATATATGAGCATGTAAAATGAACACATAGAGATAGACAAAGTTGGAAACAATGTATATTCTCTTCTGATATTCATTGATTTCCCAAAGCAAATCTCTGAACAAGGAGGAGGATTCCCACTTTGCCCGTCACCTTCTTCCCATCACCATGCATCAATTATAAGTTTCTTTCTTTAATATTCCTTTGTTTTTGTTCGAGTCTTTCGGTGTTAAGTAGTTATACGAATTCCGATTATATCTAAATTTCAGTTAGATCAAACCCTTGAATAAAGGAAAAAACTTTCTCATTCAAAAAAAAAAAACTCGAACTCAAAATATTATAAAAAGAAAATATAAACTCGATAAAGATCAGGTCACTCTCTTCAAAATTCTAATCTTGCCGATCACTATCTTCTTTCATTTAGTCCGACCTTTCTAAGCCGCTCTTTTATTCCATACACTTGAAGATATTCAAAAATAATTTAATGAGATCCAAATTTTCTTAAGCTGAGTCGAGGCAAAGGCTTAGGAGCTTCAAAAATTCAACCCCTAATGATCCAAGCTACAAAGGATTTCCAATCGTGGAAGTGGGGGTACAAGGGTCCCACACCACGGACCCCAAAATGGTCCTACTAAAGGAGATGTTGTCGGCTGGCCGACCCTTAAGGTAGCACTGAGAAGGACCATTACAGGCATTTGTGGATTACCCTTTCCTCGCACGTAAGGTTGACATCAAATTATCCCCCACAGAAGACTTCACCCTGTATCCATCTCCACTCAATTTCATCACATTATCCTTAGCCTACACCAAAAAAAAAATATTGAGATCACCAAAGTTGCCTGGCCTTAGGGTCGGCATTGGTCGAGCCAAGACGAATCTTCGGTCTCGGTCTTTAGTGGACAATGATCAAGCCTAAACGGAGACTGTATCTTAGTCTCCCTTGTGATATGCCTCAGTTCTTCACGACATTTAGGTACACAACATGGCCTCTTTCACAAAACCAAGTTGTTTAATGTTACGTTTTTAACTTATTTATTGATTGGATTTGCAGAGAATACTTGTTCTGGCTTTATTTTTATACCCTTTTTGTTTCTCCCTTTCACTTCATCATATTTAGCAGCTTGAAGAAAGTTCCCATTGAAACATCTTTAGCTAAATCAGGTGACCATGAAAACCCATTTCCCTTTTTGTTTTTTAATTGTTTATTCTGAATTTTCCTTGTAATTTCTATCTGGATTTTTGCTTGGTCATGCTGTGAATCCAAGCCATTAGAATAAGATATTATATAAAACAAAGACTGCAAAGCTTGTGACCTTCAACTGCATTAATGAATCTCTTTTACAACTGAAAAAAAGAATACACTTTCTCTTTTCTCAACATACTAACATTCACATTAATGATCTGCTCAACTTCATGATCAGCGGACCATTTTGGATTAAATTCGAGGAAAGGGTTGTTGGTGATATTTTAGTGAAAATCACAAATGGCAGTTCAGCTCCAGATTTTTTTAGTTGTGGTGCAGATTGCAGATTGCACTTGCAGCACCCAAATTTTTAAAAATATATGATCTGCAATGTTTAAAAGTCGTCGGTGACTCTGGTTAAAGGCAACTATAATAGCCATACACATATATATTCTATTCCTTCTTTCAGCTTTTTCTTCTTTACTTTCTTTGTGTAAAGTTAGCAGACATTATAAATGGTAATTGAGTGGCGTACGATGCTGCGTATAAACTAGTTTTTGGCTAAAATAAGCCTGGGGCCGTACAGATGAAAAAAGAAAAACATTTTGGGTGTACACACATATATATACACATGTACAGGTTGAATTTTTCGATGAATGGTTGGCATTTGGTGTCGGATTTTCAGGTTGTTGTCTCAAGAAACATTCTTTCTTTCTAATTGGAGTAACATATTGAACCTCAACTTTCTTGTTTTCTTCTATGTTTACACTGCAATGGCTTTGATTCTTTGTTTTGCATGTCCAAACCAAATGGGGTATGGAATTTGGATTATTTGATCTTCTTGGTTTCCTTCACTTGACAGTTTTGGTTGGGTAGTTTTGGACCAGGAAATTGATGGTCTGGTTGGTGCACCAAGAGACGAGCTTTATTAGTTCCTATCATGTTAATTTGTAGCTGGTGAAAACACAATTCAAGAAGAACACAAAATCCAGACATGAAGTTTATGAAACTTGGATCTCGACCAGACACCTTCTACAGTGTTGAGGCTTTAAGGTATGATTATGAAGACACACTCAAGTTTCCATTTTCTTGTTATTTTTTTAGGAAGATTCCATGATTTTCTTTTCTTGATGCAGGTCCGTCTCTTCTGACGTCTCTAGTGACCTTATAATTCAAGTGAATGGAAGTAGATATCTGCTTCACAAGGTAGTTTTTTATTCTCAGATTGTTGTGGTTCAATTCAATCTCTTTTTTTCTTATACCGATTGTTTAATTCATTGTACAAGCAGTTTCCTTTGTTGTCAAAGTGTTTGAGGCTTCAAAGGATATGTTCTGAATCCCCTGAGACATTACAACGCCAAATAATCCAATTACCTGATTTCCCCGGAGGTATAGAGGCTTTTGATCTTTGTGCTAAGTTTTGTTATGGTATCACAATCACCCTCAGCGCCTATAACATCGTCGAGGTCCGATGTGCTGCCGAATATTTGCAGATGACGGAAGATGTCGAGAAAGGGAACTTGGTTTACAAAGTTGGAGTTTTCTTCAATTCCTGCATCCTGCATGGTTGGAAAGACACTATTGTGACCCTGCAAAGCACCAAAACTTTTCCTTTATGGTCCGAAGACCTCGGGATCACGAGCAGATGCATAGAATCGATTGCGTCAAAAGTTTTGACACACCCTTCGAAGGTGAGCTTGTTGCATAGTCATTCGAGAAGGGTTCGGGAGGATATATCATGTAATGGAGCCGAGAGCCAGCGGCACCGACCTACAACCAAAGGTTGGTGGGCCGAGGATGTTGCTGAGTTGAGTATTGACTTGTACTGGAGAACCATGATAGCTATCAAATCTGGTGGGAAAATACCTTGTAATCTTATCGGCGAAGCACTGCGAGTTTATGCATCTCGATGGCTACCGAATATATCGGGAAAGGTAAAGGCTAACAAAGAAGCAGCAGCATCAAGCTCGGATTCGGACTCGGCTAATGAGGTTACTTCGAAGCACAGGATGCTGTTGGAATCTATAGTAAGCTTACTCCCATCGGAGACAGGTGCTACTTCTTGCAGTTTTCTAGTTAAGCTCTTGAAAGCGGCCAACATTCTTAATGCTTCATCGTCTTCGAAGATGGAATTGGCTCGAAGAATAGCACTTCAATTAGAGGACGCAAGAGTCAGTGATCTGTTAATACCTTGTTTAGCACACTCAAGCGATGCCCTCTACGATGTCGACGTGGTTCAGTCCATTTTGGAGCAATTCATGTCACAAGGACAAAGCCCTCCTACGAGTCCTCCAAGATCCAAGCTGGGGATTGAGAGGAGAAGAAGGTCGCGTTCGGCCGAGATTGTCGATATCGAGCTTCAGGAAGCTAGGAGATCTTCTGCATCACACAGTTCCAAACTAAAAGTAGCTAGAATTGTAGATGGATATCTCCAAGAGATTGCCAGAGACATAAATCTTCCCCTGTCGAAATTCATTGCAATAGCTGAGACAATCCCAAATTTCTTGCGGCCTGATCACGACGATCTCTACCGAGCCATCGACATCTATCTCAAGGTACATACAAACTGGTTTTCTGACCTCATCGGTCCACCATATACTAGTAATCATCTCTGGAAACATTACCAATAAGCGTGCAGATTCAATTAGTTGTTGTGTATGTACATCCAGGCACATCCGAACCTAAACAAGAGCGAAAGAAAAAAGATATGCCGAATCCTCGACTGCAAAAAGCTGTCGGTGGAGGCCTGTATGCATGCTGCTCAAAATGAAAAGCTTCCACTTAGAGTAGTGGTACAAGTTCTGTTCTTCAAGCAAGCTCGAGCAGCCGCTACGGGCGGCAAAGTGACTGAACTCCCTAGCAACATCAAGGCACTTTTAGCCGCACATAACATCGATCCATCTAAGCCTCCAGGGCCTTTAAGCACTACTACTAGTAGCCACATTCCAGCAGATGACCAATGGAGCATGTCAGTCATTAAGACCCCGAAGTCCAGAACTTCGACATTACGGTCGAAGGAGGCTCTAGACGATGATTTGGACGAAAACGACATGAACTTCGATGGAGTCAGAAGACCTTCAATGTTCAAGGCTTTCTGTGCTCTCCCTACCAGACCCAAAAGAATGTTCAATAAGTTGTTGTCCATGAATAGAAGTGGCAGTGAAAAGAATTGAGTGAAGTTTTGTTTTATTTTCAAGCTAGGGATGCTAATTACACCAAATTTAAACAAACTATCCGGTTGATTTAGATTTATGTGGAATTTAATTGAAATAATAATGTAGGGTGGTAGTTTTAACAATACATTTTGAAATTTTGATTTTTTTTAGATTCATATTATTTTTATTTTCAATCATTTAAGGTTGATTTTTATTTGAGTCATTTATAGATTCAAATTTAGATAAAAATTGTCGGATTATGAGTGAATAAAATATAACTTTCAAATGAAGATTTGTTGTAGGAATTTTATATTTTCTCATTCAATCATTCGATGATATGTTATCCTTGTATGATAACAAGTGTCATTAACATAGATTAATCATTAGGGATTAAATGAAAATAAAACTTAAAGTTAGTAATTTGTTTGTGCTTTTTTAACTAAAATTTAAAATATAGTATATAATTAAATGACGAACTGTGTAATTTATCCAAAAGTTAACAGATTGAATGATTTATCATTATGTTAGATAATGCCATAATGAGTTGGGTATGGGCGTATGGCAGTGTGGGACTGGAAAGCTACTTGTGGTGAACGGCAATTCATACCTCGATGAGTTGGGTATGGCAGTGTGGGACTGGAAAGCAACTTGCGGTGAACGGCAATTCATACCTCGAGAATTAACCTTTTTTAAGATGTGGATTTTATATCTTATATTCTTATTTGATTATCGATAAGTAGTTTTACCTGATGTTTTATACAGTAAATAGATATGATTACCTGCTAATACACGTATGTTTTCTTCTTCTCACGGCGTCTCGTAGTTTGTGCATTTTCCTTTAAAGACAAGCCAACCAGACCACAGCAAAACTCACTCCGGTTCTCTGTTTTTGTCTCTCACTGAAGAACCAGTAAACTCTGTTCGTGTTTTTGTCTAAACTCTAAAAGCAAGGCAAATCGATCCTTAATGTCCGAATCGAGGTTTGCGGGTGAAGCCATTTGAAGCGAAAGGTTAGGAACCCAGAACTCAGAACAGAAAAATAAAAAAGAAAGGAAAGAAACAGTAATCACAGAGATACGGTATTTTGCTGTATGTCAATAGACTACTACAGTGCTAAATACTACTGTGGATACTGTGAGGTTGCTAACCCCTTGCAATGGCCTCAACTCAGGAAAAAGCGACGCCTTGTTGCATACCCAAAACCATCAACAACAAGGTCCCTTCTTCTTCATCTGCTGAAGTGTTGCGTCTTGCTGTCGTTTCTGGGTCTGATCCATCTGAGGATACCGTCCCCAAAAGAGCTTCCATGGCGACCCTGATCCGACCCGTTGAACCCATCTCGGATCCTCCTGCTACCAAGAGACCACTGCCTCCAAAGGTTTCACTTTCACACTTCTCTTTTTGTTCATCTTTTGTTGGATAATCCTACTTGGCTTGTTTCTTGTTGAAATGTTATATTTTTAGATATGTTTCATGTTCAATTTGGTGAGTATGTTACCTAGGTATTTCAGTCATGCCAAGGGCTCAAACCAGCCATCCATTGGATCCATTGTCTGCTGCTGAAATCTCTGTTGCAGTGGCAACTGTAAGGGCAGCTGGAGCAACCCCTGAGGTAAAAAAGAAATTTATTCAACAGCTAATTTATATTGTTGCTTCACTTTTGATTTTATCATTTTAGTAGCATTTTTTTTCCACATGAATCAATGGATGTGTATGTTGTCTTAGTTTTTTTTTGGTATGTTGTCTTAGTTTAACTTGTATCGTTGCTTCAATTTTGATGTTATCATTTCAGTAGCTATTTTTCTTTTATATGAATTGATGATATGTATATTTTCTTTCCTTAGGTGAGAGACAGCATGCGCTTTATCGAAGTGGTTTTAGTGGAACCAGAGAAGCAGGTTGTCGCATTGGCAGATGCGTATTTTTTTCCCTCCTTTCCAGCCTTCATTAATTCCCAGGACAAAGGGTGGACCTCTGATTCCTACTAAACTTCCTCCGCGCCAAGCAAGACTTGTTGTTTACAACAAAAGGTCCAATGAGACTAGTGTATGGATTGTTGAATTGTCGGAAGTTCACGCTGCAACTCGAGGAGGCCACCACAGGGGCAAAGTCATTTCGTCTAAAGTTGTTCCGGATGTCCAACCTCCCATGGTAAATATGTGTCTTCTCTTTTAAGAATATGAAAGTATTTCTATAGGTATGGTTTAGACTGGACCGACTGTCAAAATATGCTATTCGAACACTTTTAATAAGCGACTTTATTAGTTATTACATGGACTGGAACGAGTAATGTCTGATTAATAAATGTTAATCTATGTTGTGCTTGTCCTTTGTTATGGTTTTTTGCATCCAGCACACATGATACATATGTAATCGGCATGTTTGTCCATTAATGTTCTTATTCTCAAACTGTAGGATGCTATGGAATATGCTGAATGTGAGGCTGTTGTTAAGGACTTTCCTCCATTTCGAGAGGCAATGAAAAAGAGGGGTATTGAGGATATGGATCTTGTGATGGTTGATCCTTGGTAAGTGATCATCCTTAGCTTTCTATGCCTTGGTGTTCTATAGAATCATTTCTCTATTGCAGGTGTCTTACCCTTCCATATTTGGTTACTTGCCTTCTGTAGGTGTGTGGGATATCATAGTGATGCCGATGCTCCTAGCCGAAGACTTGCTAAACCACTTATCTTCTGCAGAACTGAGAGTGACTGCCCCATAGAAAATGGTTATGCTCGTCCAGTTGAGGGAATACATGTCCTTGTTGACATGCAAAATATGGTGGTGATTGAATTTGAAGACCGTAAACTTGTTCCCCTTCCACCGGCTGATCTTTTAAGAAATTACACTCCTGGAGAAACACGAGGAGGTGTTGATCGAAGTGATGTGAAACCACTGCAGATCATTCAACCTGATGGTCCCAGTTTTCGTGTTAATGGGAATTTTGTTGAATGGCAAAAGGTGATTGGTAGTGAAACTATGTTTATAACTTTTATCAGTTCAAGATGCACTGATTTATTTTATTTGTAATTTTGGTTCAGTGGAATTTCCGAATTGGTTTCACCCCTAGGGAGGGTCTTGTAATTTATTCTATTGCTTATGTTGATGGTAGTCGTGGCCGGAGGCCTATAGCCCATAGATTAAGTTTTGTCGAAATGGTAGATCCGTATGGAGATCCAAATGATCCACATTATTGGAAGAATGGATTTGATGCTGGAGAAGATGGACTGGGTAAAAATGCACATTCTCTTAAGAAGGTTTGTCTCTGCTTTTGTGTTTTTGTTTTTATGTCGAGTTTCATTTAGATCCTTCCATTTCTCTTAATTTAAGTTGAAATTTCCCCTTATTCACTCCTTATCTTTTGTAGGGCTGTGATTGTTTGGGATATATCAAGTACTTTGATGCCCATTTTACAAATTTCACTGGAGGTGTAGAAACAATTGAGAATTGTGTTTGTTTGAACGAGGAGGACCATGGGATCTTATGGAAGCATCAAGACTGGAGAACAGGTTTAGCAGAAGTCCGACGGTCGAGAAGACTGACAGTGTCATTTATATGCACTGTGGCTAACTATGAATATGGATTTTTCTGGCATTTCTATCAGGCAAGTTGGTGTCTTCCAGGATTGTGTTTGCTTACTATGCATGAATATACTCGTCTTTGTTCGACTTCTGAATAATCTAATTCCTCCTCGTAACTAGCTGTTATGCTGCTATACACTATATATTTTTGTTGTATCGAATGGTCCGTTTTTGCCTTCTACATTTTTAATGTGAGTTTTCCCTTGATTTGAAAGTTGTGTTGCTTAAAATTTGATTAACGGATGCATGCTATAGGATGGTAAAATTGAAGCTGAGGTTAAACTCACTGGAATTCTCAGCTTAGGAGCATTGCAGCCTGGTGAAACACGGAAATATGGCACAACCATTGCTCCTGGTTTATATGCCCCTGTCCATCAACACTTTTTCGTGGCTCGCATGGACATGGCAGTTGATTGTAAGCCTGGTGAAGCATTTAATCAAGTAAGCAGTCACGTTATTCCTTAATAATGATTTGCCTCCTTTAATTCATTGGCATTTGCTTCCTATAATGCATCCTATGATATCCATTATTTTGTGGTTAAAATATTCATGGCAGTTTTAGCTTGTAACATTGATCATCTCCATGTCTATTCTCCGCTGGTTGCTCCTATAGAAAGAAAGCAGGGAGTTATTCAACCTTAACTCATGCAAAACTAAAACATTTATGCATTCTTACAGGTGGTTGAGGTGAATATTAAAGTTGAAGAACCAGGGAAGAATAATGTTCATAACAATGCATTCTTTGCTGAAGAGGAGCTACTCAGATCCGAATTACAAGCAATGAGTGATTGTGATCCGTTGTCTGCACGCCACTGGATTGTAAGTAATTGTGATCCCATCAACTTATAGCTTCCTTTCCTTCTGTTCCTTATTGTTTCTGAAATCAGATCAGTCAATGGCTCTTACTTGAATCTCGTTTAGTCTTAGCTCAAGTTATTTTGCCTTGCTCGACTAGCATTTCATGTAAGAGCTCTTTTATATGTATGTTAAAAGAAATCTTGGAAAATGCGTTTATCTTCTGCACTGTTCAAGAAGTTGATCCCTCACCGTACTTACTATTTCCAATATTTTAGGTTAGAAACACACGGAATGTCAACAGGACCGGGCAGCTGACAGGTTTCAAACTCGTTCCTGGTTCGAATTGTTTACCACTGGCTGGCTCTGAGGCAAAATTTCTGAGAAGAGCAGCTTTCTTGAAACATAATCTTTGGGTCACACCCTATTCTCGTGAAGAAATGTATCCTGGAGGGGAGTTTCCGAATCAAAATCCACGCGCCGGGGAGGGATTAGCTACTTGGGTTAAGCAGAACCGATCTTTGGAAGAAGCTGATATAGTTCTGTGGTTAGTTTCTTACACATGTTTCTCTTAGGAACGGTAGTGATAATTTATGTTTGCATTTAACTATAGAATCATAGCATCCGACTGTATATGCATTCACTGGCATCTCAGTATGTATCATCTATATTTGCATTTAACTTATGATATCGGATTCAGTTGGCAATCACGTGCAGGTACGTCTTTGGAGTGACACGCGTTCCTCGGCTGGAAGACTGGCCTGTGATGCCGGTGGAACGCATTGGTTTCATGCTCATGGTAGCATAAATTCTTCGACACATTTTCTTTTCCGAGAATTTGTAAATTTTACCGACATTTAAAAGTTACCCTTTGGTATACGTAATGCAGCCACACGGTTTCTTCAATTGCTCGCCGGCAGTTGATGTTCCTCCTAGCGCAGCCGATCTGGAGCTCAAAGACAACGATATTGCAACGAAACCTATCCAAAATGGGATAATTGCTAAGCTTTGAGTTGATCATAATTCAGGTATTAGTAAGGTCATGCATTTCAGCCTGCTGTATGCAATATCTGGTACTGAATTAAGCATAAAGATTTGTAATTGTAAGGAGTAAGGATTACCCCCATGTTTGTGGAACTACCTTTGAGTCATTGCCATCTCTTGTACTGCTAAAGAATCATTATGGACTTTGATGATTATGTCGGTGTTCATGATGATCATCAAACCGTTTCCTTCTCAACAGTATTAATTATGTACTTTATTTATGATTGAGAAGATGATGTTCAAGCTAACATCCGGCACATATATGGGACATTTTTTGACACCAGAACATTGTAGGCTTTGGGCTGGCTAGCCGCCAAACCCTTCAGCTCCAGCCGTTCAAGTCCAGGCTGTCCCCCACGTAAACTTAATTTGACAAATATTTGAACTGTCAGGGATCTGATGTGTCACTATACAAAATAACAAAAGGCTTTGGGGATAGTCAAGGCCTCTAACGTCATTGAATACGAATCTATCTTATTTATAAACATTTATTTAATTTGTTTTAAAATTTAAAACGTTAAGTGGATATTATTATATTCAGATAAACACGTTTATGTGCTTGATATAGAACAACTCGTTTGTTTAAAAATCAATAGAGAGATTCTTCAATAATTGAAGCAAACTCTACTTTAGAATAAGTAAATTGATCCTTATCCTACCATATATGCTTTCATGATTTACCCCATTGCTCCCTTGTCTCCTCCCATGATACAAGTGGAAAAGCAGGCTCAACAAGGCACAGTCACCCAACATTGGCGAATGAATAAAGGAATGGTATTATTATATTACAAGGTGTCAAGCCTCCATGTGGTCTCCATTCTCCAATAATAACACTAAGTAGGGGGGGGGGAGTTTGGTTTAGTAAATAATCTAATCCAACATTATTTTGATTGGCTGTACGTGTTGGAACATGATTGCTTCAATCTCTGATAAAAGTTTTGTTTTTCTGTACAAAATCATCTTGAGATTACATGAACTCCCCCTTTGTCCACTTTTTGAACAATGGCTAGCTTGGATTTGTATCCATGCTATCCCCTTCACATTCTTCAATTCTAAACAAATATATCATCTTCCTTTCTCCTGGAAAAATCTTATTTATTCTCTTAAATATTTATTGAGTTTAGATTTTTTTTATTGTTTAAATCAAAAGAGATGAAATATTAAAAAATGTTGCAAGTACCGACAATTAGTTGGTCTAGTGGGATGAGGGATTAGATCCTTTAAGCAAGGTTAAGGGTTCGAATCCTAGCTATTGCGAACGGAGCAAACTGGGTTGGGAGGGTCGCCCTCGCCTTTACAGTACCCGATTTAGATTAGTCGGTCATTAGATCAGATACCAATGGTTAATTAAAAAAATGTTGCAAGTGACAATATTGTCAATTATTGGAGGGGTTATTTGGGTTGGAACTTTTAAGAGTTGAATAAGGTCCCCATTAAAACGTAGAAGAAACCCCACACTCGTGCCCTTTTCATTTTCTTTTGAGTTATTAAAGTCACATTACAAGGAAACTTCCCGCATTCATCAGAGTCGGAGCTGGGTGGAGGTTCTTTAAGATTGTAAAATACGAAGTTTCATATGGATGACAATGAAGTCATTGATGGATCGAAGGGATTGTCAAAACAGTCGATTTTATAAAAATTTGAAATTTTCTTAACAATTTATTTTCATCTCTTAAAGTTTTATAAATTTACCATCTCTGCCCTAAAATTATGTAAACGTTTCAAAATAAAACATAAATGGAAGTTATCAAACTTAGTATCAATCTACTGTTAATAAACCTTGTCCCAAGTTTTTTCTTATCTACCTTTTACTGCGAGTTTGGCAACTTTTGGGGTAAGATTTTAACCCTAGTTAGATGTTGACTTGCATGTGTCACTACTGCGCATGAACATGAAACTTCTGCTAACTATGAATCGTGATTAATACTGAAAATGGGATGATTTAGAATTTCTACATTAAAGTTGCAGCTCTGATTGCTGATAGATTCAATACAGAATCCAGAAAGAACCATACTATATATGGAAACTTGAAAGAAAGATAAAAGAAGCTAAAGATTTCCATGTTATTTATGTACAAAAACTTCAAACGATCATCACTACAAAGTAGCCTAAAACAGATAAATTAAAGAGGAAGGGTAAGAGAAGAAACAAGCTTGGGTACGATGGAAAATTAGTAAATTAGTTAGCCCTTTCCCTTATAAACAGAGTCTCCAAATCTGGGGGAGTGAAGAACTCTCTAACACCAGTTCTTCCATAGTTATTATTACACTTGAACGAAGCTTTTGGCTTCCTCGGAGCAGGCGGTGGACGCGTGAATAGAGTTCGAATCCTGGCTTCTTCTCCGGTTGGAGTCGATGAGTCTTCATCGTCATCATTATCGATGCTTTCTTTATCTTTCTTCAATGGAGGGTCAGTTGATTTTGTGTATATAGGCTTCAATGGAGCTCGTATGGAAATCATGGCTAAGACCCATTTTTGGCCTTCGGATTCTAAGCCGTCGTCCACCTTTGGCTTCCTTGAAAACCCCATTTCCTCGGATCAAAGATTGAATTTTTTGGCTACAATTATAGATTTCCAGGAGGGAATAATGGAATAAAGGAGGAGGAATAAAAGAATATGGGGTTTTTCCGCTTTCTTTTCCTTTCCGTTTGTGGAGAGAATCAAGAGGAAAGCAAGAGGAAAGTGGCGGAAATGGAATCAAGGATTGTTACGGCGTTGTTCTGATCGGCGTTTTATCTACTCAAATTCGATTTGAATATAATATATTTTATTTGTCATTTGATCTTATTTACAATAAACATTGGATCCCTTGCTCACTGATGATGCATCGTTGAGTTCTTGCGGTAACGCATCACTTCTTCTACTTCAAGTTGCAGAATTATTCATTTAGCTGAAGACTTTTATTTCGAGTGTTATCGGCTACTTTTGGTTTACTCACATCTTCCTTATATGGAACTTGTTATGATCGCAACATCGACAATCCACACACATTTTATAAAGACAACTGCTTAAATTTAAAACATTTAAAGAGAATAACATTCCTTTTACCGTTTAGACAATTTGAAGAGTTCTACTAATAAGAATTATTACTTTTTTTCCTCAATAAATAAAGAAGACACGGAACATAATCTTAGAAAGTTATAAAAATTAAAGCGAAACAACCATTTCCTCCAATAAAAGATTATTGAAAGCACAATGAAGATAAAATCGCACAAAATATATTAAAGATTTAAATAATTCGAAAAAATAGAATATATAAACAAACCCCACTTTCTATAGTGAAAGATAATTGATGCAGGGCATCCGAGACAGATGATGTTGAGCTATCAGATTGCACCTTGATGGCGCTGAGATACCATGAATTGGCAGATCAGCGCAAAGGCGGGAATTGATTGTGACATGTTTTTCATTGGGGTCGTTTTGAGTATGTTTTAGTCTTTTGGCCATAACTTTGGTTATAGGTGTCAGAATCGCGCATAAGACCCCAATCCGAAAAGCTCTTTTCGACGCGCACGCTCTCCACAGCTACGCTCCATGTGGCCTTTTTTTCAACCTCAAATTCTGCCGTTTTCCCCTCCGAATCACTAGAATTATATATTTTTTACTATTTATGGTAATATTTCGATTGTCAATTAGGAAGTCAATTTAAATCCGATTTAGGCCGGATTTTTTGGAGATTGTTTATTTTATTTCGAATTTCAATTTAGAGTGATTTTCGGGATTTTGCTATTTTTGGCAAAATTCGAATAAAGACGATTTTTGGCTATAACAGTCCGGCTTGTGGACTGATTTTGGCATTGTTTGATTTGATAATATTTTATTAAACCCTAGAGACTTTTTTTTCTTTGGAATTTTTTTGACGAATTTTCTCTTGTGAATCATCTGTTGGAGCGTTTGCAGGATAATCACTATTCTGTCTGGCGTCAATAATATCATTAATATTAACATAAAAAATGAATATAACAATGACAATATACTGACAATTGATTTTGTTACAAACCAAACACAATCTATTTGATTACAAACACTTATCAACCTGCGAAGATAATTTAAAAGTTAAAATCAAAGGTTTACCAATAAGATAAAAACATCAATTGAAAATACGTCTAACTATACTATAATAATTAAGAAAATGTATTATAATAACATAAAAAATGTGTTATAAGGATAGACAAAAACGTTCACTGTTTTTATAAGAAAACAAATATATTTTATGAAATAAATAATACAATTTAAATATACAAAATTAAAAGGTTAAAAGGAGAAAAAAAAGTAAGATAAAAGAATACAAAATTAAAAGGTTAAAAGGAGAAAAAAGTAAAAAGAACAATAAGAATATGATAAAACATGCGTAATAGTTGTTTGGGCAAAAACTAATGACATGATAGGTAAAGGAAGATAAAAAATCAATAAAGACCTTGATGACACATGAGATGATCAAGGGATACAATCGTTTTTTTCCTTTCTTCAAGGTGTGTTTGAAGTTAAATTTACAGAAAGCTTTCGATTCGATGGATTAGGTATTCCTTTTTGATATGTTCGAAGCTCTTGAGATGCCAAAGGATTACTTGGGGAGTGTATCGCATGTCTCTTTCTGTGTTTCTCTCAATGGAGGGTTAGTGGAGTTTTTCAAATGAGCTAAAGGGGTGAGGCAGAGTGATCTTTTCCCCTTATCTCTTGCGATTATGATGAATGTTTTACCTAAGCTTTTGGATATAGCAGCTGAGTATGATGTGATGCAATATCACCCAAAACGTCACAGGGTCAAGTTAACTCATCTTTGTTTCGCTTATGATTTGTTGGTATTCTCAAAGGAGATTTTTAGTTCCGTTATTGGAGTCTGGGAGGTGCTTAAAACCTTTCACAGGTTTTCAGGGTTGCAAATGCACTCGGATAAGTCAGAGATGTTCTCATCTAGGATTGGGACTGAAGTGTTGCATGTGACTTCTGAGGTTACGAGCATTCGGAGTGACAAGTTTTCGGTTAGGTATCTTGGCATTTCTCTCGTTGCCAAGAGACTCATTGTTAGGGATTGTGCCCCTTTGATTGAGAAGATTGAAGCTAGGTTGCAAGGCTGGCAGGCTTCAGCTTATTCGTACAGTCATTTATAGCATTGAAAATTACTGGTGTAGTCAAGTGTTGCTTCCTGGGGCGGTTATTAAGAGGATAAATCAACTTTGTTTGAGGTTCTTTTGGAAGGGTGAAGATAAGGCGATTAAGCGAAAAAGGTAGGTTGGACGCAAATTTGTACTCTTAAGGCTGAGGGAGGTCTTGGTCTCAGGGACCTTAAAACTTGGAACCATGCTTTAATGGTTGGTGATTAGGAAGCTCTTATTTAAAGATAACTTCATTTGGGTTGCAAGGGTTCATGCCTATATTATAAAAGACAATTCTTTTTTAAATCTGTCTTGTCCTCAAATTTGCAGCTGATCATGGAGGGAATTATTGCAGCTTAGGTTGAAAGCGGTTCAAGTCCAAGGTCTGCTTATTGATTCGGTTTCCTCCACTCGGGAGATTTGGAACTAGATGAGGATGAAAAGGGAAAAGGTGCCTTGGGAAAGACTTGTGTGGCATTCTGGTTACATCCTCAAGTTTTCGGTTACAACTGATGGCAATTTTGAATAGATTGCCCACTAAAAACTGGCTCATTTCGGTTCCTTTTTTGTGTACCTTTGTATAATGTACAAACTACAAGCTTATCTTTTTGCACGAGCAGATGGTGTAGATGCAACAATGGGGTATATTTCCATAGGGTGATGGTTGTCGTTTTGCATAGAATCTATGTGAGAAATTCCAAAAATACAAAGTAAAATCCATGTAGGTTGAAGCCATGGTATCAATCGACAGTTTTCGACTTCAAAACAGATTAACCACATAGGCAATGACACCACTCCATAGTGTCACGAAATTGGGCCTTTTCCCCACACTTTGGGCTATGTTGGGCCACATTTGGTCTTGGAGGTTGATAGAATAGTGTAGATTATTCTAGAACACTCAAGACTTGTACATATTCTAGAAGCATTCTAGAGTCTTCCATGTTAGGTAGGAAATAATGGAGAATTCTAGAGAATCTCTCCCTACCGTAGGATCAAATCAATCTCCACCGTCCATTGAGGAGGTGGATCTATAAATAGGTGTAGAATCCTCATTTGTAAATCATCCAAGAGTTGTAAGCATTCAAGCATTCAACAAGCTTTCTCTCTAAGTTCTTTCCTCCCTTCTTTGTTTCCTTGCCAATCCTTTCTCTAGCACGAGTTCGAGTGAGGCTGACTTAGCTATCGCGAGGGGCGAAAAGGAGCTAAGGCCGCACGAGGCTTATTGAGCGATTAAGTCCGTGACAATAGCCTATGTTTAATGGGAACGCTGTGGAAATCCTCCATAAGATTACATAATGAATAAAGGTCAGCATCATTTGGCTAAAATTGGGTTAATGCAATTACAGTTAAGGGTGGAGAGTTGTTTCCAAAATTTTAAATTCTTATAATTTATATGTTTTATAAATATCTTCATCTCTGAAATTTTATAGGTTCATTTCCTCTTAAAATTTTATAAGCTTATTTCACATAAAATCTTGTGTTTTCTTTGATTTAAACGTTTATTCATGTATGTTTATTGATATACGATATGAGATATTAATTTGCGGCAATTCAATAAATTATAATATAAATGATAGTTGATAATTTGTGATTCATTTCTTTTTAATTTGGACAGAAGATCATCGATGGTCTTAAATTTATAAATGTCTTCTTTGATTATTTATGAGAATCTAGATAAGAGAATGATTTTTTGAAGAGAAAGATGAATATTTATATCTCGTTTATCTTTTATTATATGTGAATGAGCAAAACTAAAAAAAATGGTTCATTCTGAATGGATATATATGATTTTTTCATGAATTTATTTTATTAATATAGTAAACATACTCTCCATGGCTGCTTGAAACTCCTTAGTTTTTGCTCGTGTGATGGGGCCACTTGGATATTTCTCCGGGTCATTGCTATTGGCGATCATATCATGTTATTTTTTTTAATTGCTATATTATTAAATTGATGTGATGATGTAACTAATTTGTAACATCATAAAATAATATTTTAAAATCTAAAGGTATAACACTATCTATTTAGATATTTACAATATCTTTAATTATATAAATTCTTCATTGACTTTTAATAAAATTAAAAAAATATCCCTGATTCAACATAAAAAAAAGTGAGTAGATGAGCCTGAGTTATTGGAGGATCTACGGATGCAACTCCAAAAGAAAGACGTGTCCAATAATCTAAACAATATGCCACCATGGGAAAGCACACTCATTATTCATCCTTATACCATCTCGCCTTTACCTTAATTATCTCTAATTACCTTTAATTTATTAGATTAATAGTCTAAATATATTTAAATAGAGTCGACACATGACAATTGATAAGATTTGAATTACATATCCTTTACACAGTAAGAATCAGATCTGAAATATTAAAGTTAGTGATCCAATAAGAACAAGACAAATAGTTTTAACATATCATTGTGAAAAAAGTAGACAGCTTCGGATAATGAACATGTGAGTTTATCAACGTCCACTTCCGGATCACGGGTCACCAATTCTCAAATCATCAGCTATTTAAACCCCACTAGCAAGAGCCAAATTCCCCCATTAGCTTTTGAGACACCCCTATTGGATATATATCTGTTCCTTGGAACTGATAGCATCCGTCCATGGGGTTTTAACAAACGCATATTAGGTGGCGGAGGGTTTGGAGGTTTCGGATTCCCCCGATCCTCACCCTCTGCCACCGAAAACTGTTTGCCTTTGCTTAGACCGATAGCTCGGCCTAAACAGAAAACACCGTGCGCATGGAAGATATATATCTGAAGAGGAGGGTTTTTGGCTAATGCAAAGG